TCTTGCAGGGCCCTTGGTGGTTGTGGAGGCAGTGGTGGAGTGGGTTCTCTGACAGGGGATGGTGGTAGGCTGGGCATTCTTTGCCTTTCAGGAGAGGACGAGGATAAGGAAGAGGATATCCTTCTTTTGGTATTGGAAGCATTTTTGCGGGCAGCAACCTTTCTCCTTGCCGGCAGCATCTTGTACAAACCCTAGGAATTGAATTGGCAAATTGAAAGAGGGGTTTTTGATTGAATCTGAATTTTGCCTTAGTTGCCTAAAAACTCAGAGAAATTGTCAGTATGTTCACACAGGGAAGTGGTATTTGAAGAGGTGATTCTGGAATAAGGAGAAGATGAATAAGTCGAAGCAGTGAAGGAGTTGTAAATTAATGCACAGTAGTTAAAATTTTTGGGAAGTCGTGGCTGAATCGAGTGACTCAAAAAGGCGGACACGGTTAAAATTGAAATTTGAAAATTTCTGGAAAAATTTCCCCCCCAAACTTAAGCCATAAATACAGCTCAAAAAGGTGAGCTTTTGCAGAAAGTGTTGTACAGTTGTTCTTACTCAGGCGAGTGAATTGTCCCACTTGTGTGAGTGATGTCAGGGTTAAAAGACTTACAGAATTATGTTCCCGTAGGTTCACTCGGCTGAGTGACCTTCTTTACTTCTGGGAGTGAGTTTACTTAAGGCCTTTTATGTTACACTTTCTGAAATCCGTTGGGGTGATAGATACCTTGTCCGTTCCTGCAAAATTAGAATAGCCCAAAGTTAGCCACACAAAAGCAAAACGTATGGGTTGCCTCCCATAAAGCGCATTGGTTTTAAGTCTCATGCTAGACTTTCACAAAAGCTTAGTTGGGCTCCTTGAGGGCAAGGACATGACTGTTCTGTCCCTTATTTCCCTTTTCCAAACCAAGATATGGCTTTAATCTCTGCCCATTGACCAAAAAGGTGTTGCCATTCTGTGGATTCATGATCTCCACTGCTCCTTGAGTTAGGACCTTGTTGATTCTGTGGAGACCTGTCCATCTTGACCTCAACTTCCCTGGAAAGAATTTCAGCCTGGAGTTGAACAACAGGACTTCTGGTCCTTCTTGCAGATCCTTCTTGACAATGTGTTGATCATGGTAGGCCTTAATTTTTTCCTTATAAAGTTTGGATGATTCATATGCTTCTAGTCTGAACTTTTCCAGCTCGTTCAATTGCATCAATCTAAGTTCCTTGCGTTTTCTTGGATCAAGATTCAGTTCCTTAATAGCCCAGTAAGCTTTATGCTCCAACTCCACTGGCAAGTGGCATGCTTTCCCATAGACCAGTTTGAACCGGGACATACCAATAGGGGTTTTATATGTTGTTCTGTATGCCCATAAAGCTTCACCCAACTTTGAGGACCAATTCTTTCTGGTAGAGTTGATAACCTTTTCCAGGATTCTTTTCACTTCCTTGTTTGACACTTCTGCTAGCCCGTTTGATTGTGAATGGTATGGTGTTGATACTCTGTGCCTGATTCCATATTTCTTCACCATGGTGGCAAATGACTTGTTACAGAAGTGTGATCCTTCATCACTGAGTATCATTCTGGGTGTACCAAATCTGGCAAAAATATTTTTCCTTAGGAACCTGAGAACGGTCTTAGCATCACTGTTTCTTGTAGCTACGGCTTCTATCCATCTTGAAACGTAGTCTACTGCCAGTAGGATGTAGGAGTTCCCAAAGAATGACACGAAAGGACCCATCCCCCATACATCAAACAGTTCTACTTCAAGCATGTTCTGCTGTCGCATCTCATTCTTCCAGGAAATGTTTCCTGTCCTTTGGCACCGCTCACAGCTTTTGACAAATTCACGTGCATCTCTGAACAGAGTTGGCCAATACAGTCCAGCTTGCAGAACCTTGATTGCCGTTCTTTGACCGTTGAAATGTCCACCATAGGGAGAACTGTGGCATTTTTGCAACACTTCTGTGAACTCAGGTCCTGGAATACACCTTCTGATCAACTGGTCTGCACATCTTTTGAATAGGTAGGGTTCATCCCATTGGTAGAGTTGAGCATCATGAAGGAATCTCTTGCATTGTTGAGGGGTGAAATCTGGAGGAATGATACCAGCAGCAACAAAGTTAGAAAAATCTGCAAACCAAGGCTTGTTACCTGTCACTCCCATGAGTGTGCCTGTCACTCGCCAGAGTGACTCATCAGGGAATTTTTCTGAAATTGGAGTTGTGTCTTCTGGAATTTCTTCAAGTCTTGACAGATGGTCTGCTACCTGATTCTCAGCACCCTTTCTGTCTCTTATCTCCAAATCGAATTCCTGCAACAACAACACCCATCTAATCAACCTTGGTTTGGACTCTTTTTTATTGATCAAGTACCTGATGGCAGCATGGTCTGTGTAGACTATGACTTTCATCCCTAACAAATAAGCTCTGAATTTGTCAAATGCAAACACAATTGCCAACATTTCCTTCTCTATAGTGGTGTAGTTGATTTGTGCAGGGTTAAGGGTTTTACTAGCATAGTAAACCACATGTAGCACCTTGTTCCTTCTCTGTCCAAGTAAAATACCAACTGCAAAATCACTAGCATCACACATCAGTTCAAAAGCTTGTGACCAATCAGGTGTGATGATCACAGGTGCAGTGATGAGTTTCTTTTTAAGTTCAGTAAATGCATTTAAACAGGATTCATCAAAAATAAAAGCAGTGTCCTTTTCAAGCAAGTTACAAAGGGTTTAGAAATTTTTGAAAAATCTTCAATGAACCTCCTGTAAAAACCGGCATGGCCTAAGAAACTCCTTACTCCCTTGACGGTGGTTGGTGGGCTGAGCCTTTCTATGACTTCAATCTTTGCCTTGTCCACTTCAATTCCTTCCTGTGAGATCTTATGTCCCAAGACAATCCCCTCAATCACCATAAACTGGCATTTCTCCCAGTTGAGAACTAAGTTGGCTTCTATGCATCTCTTCAGTATCAGTCCAAGGTTGTCCAGGCATGCATCAAATGACTTACCAAAAATCGAGAAGTCGTCCATAAAGATCTCAATTATGTCTTCCACCATATCGGAGAAAATGGCCATCATACATCTTTGAAATGTTGCCGGTGCATAGCACAGTCCAAATGGCATTCTCTTGAAGGCAAATGTGCCATAGGGGCAGGTGAAAGTCGTCTTTTCTTGATCATCAGGATCTATGGCAATTTGGTTGTAACCTGAGAAACCATCAAGGAAACAATAATACATGAATCCAGCCAATCTATCTAGCATTTGATCAATAAAGGGAAGGGGAAAGTGGTCCTTTCTGGTAGCTTTATTAAGCTTTCTGTAGTCCATGCACACTCTCCACGAGTTGTTCAGCCTTGTAGGGATTAGCTCCTGGAGGTCATTCTTTATCACTGTGATTCCTCCCTTCTTGGGCACGCACTGCACTGGACTCACCCACTTGCTGTCAGATATGGGGAAGATGATTCCAACGTCCAGTAGCTTGATAACCTCCGTTTTTACCACTTCCTTCATGACTGGGTTGAGCCTTCTTTGTCCTTCAATGGTTGGCTTGGCATCATCTTCAAGTAGGATCTTATGCATACATATGGAAGGACTGATGCCCTTAATGTCTGCAATTGACCACCCAATGGCTTCCTTGTGCAACCTCAGCACTCTCAGCAGTTTATCTTCTTCAGTACCTGTAAGCATAGAAGAGATGATCACAGGTAAGGTGTTACTAGCTCCAATATAGGCATACTTCAAATGTGAGGGCAGAGGATTAAGTTCGAGATGAGGTAGTTCTTCAATTGAAGGTTTGAGGTATCTTCCTTCCTTGGCCAGGTCTAACAGTTCAAAGGGTGGTTGTTTAGGATGCCACTTGGGGGAGTGGTTTAGGTAACTCAGGCAAGTGATCCTGTACTCATCCCCTCCTTCCTGTTCCTCATTATTGTCTGGGCATAAGAGTTCCTTGAGGAGCTCATCTTGCAATATTTCTTTTGTCACTGCTTCTTCTACTTCCACACTTCTTACCATGTAGCAGTTATGGACTTCAGCAGGATATCTCATGTTTTTGAAGATGTTGATGGTCACCTTTTCTCCATTAAAGTGCAGTGTGATTTCTCCCTTTTTCACCTTAATGATTGCATCACTTGTTGCCAGAAAAGGTCTCCCCAAGATGATGGGCACATCCCTGTCCTCTTCCATGTCCAAAACAAAAAAGTCTACTGGGTAAACGAAATTACCAACCTTCACAAGAACGTCATGTAAGATTCACAAGAACGAAATTGCCAACTGCAATGTCATGTTAGTAGGTACCAGAAATTTGTCCAGATCAAGTGATTTAAATACAGACAATGGCATGAGATTTATGCTTGCACCAAGATCTAGCAATGCTTTTGAAAATTCTCTGATTCCTACCGTACAAGGAAGAGTGAAACTACCCGGATCTTTTAGCTTGGGTGGCAATTTTCTCAGAATAGCTGCACTACATTCTTCATTTAGAATGACAAAAGCAGAGTCGTACACTTGTGGTTTATTGGCCACCAAATCTTTCAAGTACTTGAAATATTTATGCATTTGTTTAAGTGCATCAACAAGTGGTACATTAATATCTATACTTTCTAAGTTTTGAATAAACCTGTTGAGCCCTTCATCCATTTTGGCCTTCTTTTGTCTTACCGGATATGGTGGGATTGGAGCTGGCTGTTGTGGTTCCTTAATTGGTGCTGGGAATTGAATTTCCTCCATTCCAGGGTTTTCAGCCGTTTGCTCCTGTTCAACCACATCATTATTATCAGCTATTTTCTCAGAAAATGTTTCATTCTTACCTCCAGGGTCACTCACGGGAGTGACTTTTTCACTTGGCTGATTGAGTTGCTTTCCACTTCTAAGAGTGATAGCCTTTGCTTGCTCTTGATCATTTCCCTTGGGGTTTACAACTATATCACTGGGCAGGCTTCCAGATGGTCTTTCAGCGTTTTGTTTTGCGATCTGAGCCAACTGATTTTCTAAATTTTTGCAAGACACCGCCAAATTCTTGATTACATTTTGCACAGAAATCCATTCATCTTCCCTTGGTATATATTGTTGGTTAGAACGTTGCTGAAGTCCAGACAGTTTTGAACATACAACTGTGGCTTGAACATGGGGGTAAACTACAGGAGTGATTATGGCAAGCGGCTTTGGTGTGGCAGATGATAAGTATCTATAATCTGGGATTGCAGATCCAAAATGGATCGGTAGGATGTGTTGGTTCTGGCGTAAACTACACTTAGAACAGATGGATTTGAGGAAAATTGATTATCAGAGAGGCATTGGATGAAACTATCAGGAAGAATCAAGCTTGAGTGGACTGATGATATAACTAGTAGGAAAAAACAGCAGAAAGCCGATGACATTAACATAGAAATCTTCATGTCTAGCTATTTCCTCTCCAGAATTAATGTATTTTCTTTTTTCCACTACAGAGGAAGTATCACTAGCTGCGACCCTTCAGTTCCATTTCTTGTTTTTTGTTCTTTTATAACTTTTTTTTTCGCAGATTCACGTGGTCACTGAAGGGATTCCAGGCTTCCAGTTATTAACAATTACAATTATTAAGCATCAACAGATATGGAAGTTTGAATAAGGCGGCTGAATTCAAAAACAGCCTTGAAATTGTCAAACTATGACGAAGTTCTTTTTAATCTTTATTTAAAAATTGTCAACTGCCACCATATAAGTACTGGAAAAGAAAGTTGTTCCCTCTTTGGGTTTTATACCGTATAATGTATTGAAAATGACTAATACTACAATATCATTCCCATTTGTCATAAAAAATTTGTTAATATAGGGAACTACAGTGACTCGGAGAGAGTATCAGTAGCGTAACATAGATTTTGTTAACATAAATCGTGACAACTCTTTCCTTTGAAATTTGATCCGAAACTAGGTATTTTTTCTGATTATTTACACTAATATTTCCTCATCCTCCATTTTGTCTGTTACTGCAAAAAATAAATAAAATAAAATTGCATAGAGCAAATTGTTTAATTCATTTTCAAAAAAAAAAAAAAAGCAAATTGTTTAAGTGTTTCCTGCAAGTATTATTGTCTTTTGGGTAAGAGCTTTAAGATAGAACAGGCTACAGGCAAAGAACAAAACCTTAAAACAGATTTGAAAATTTACAGTATTAATTCTCATTGAAAGCCTGTGAGCTAATCAGTTAATCAGGTCAATGAGTTTATGATCATCTTAGCAGCAGAAAAAAGTTATCCATAATTTACCACCTTGATTGGTTTGCTCATGCAACAAAAGACATAATGGATCTTTCGTCTTCCGATTGGTTTCAATATCTGTACATGTTAGCGGACTCAACAAAAGACACGATGCTCCATGTTTCAACTATGGGTACACTAAACACAAAAATGTGCAGATAAAAGCTTAAGATTCACAGACATTGCCTGGCGCTATATGTGCTGTGGTTTCATCTAGAATAGGCATATTCTGTACATGCTCAAGGAGTTTAGTTAATGCTCTATGAACATAATCCCGGCGTACCCTACTAGATGATTCTGTTAATAGGCCTGCGACAAGGGAGTTAAAGTTCTGAGAAAACTCACTGTCATGGCTTTGAATGATATGGTCAGCAGCAGGAACTGGCCAGCTCTCTAGTCGCCATCTTAATGGAAAATATTTCTCCGGGATCTCAAAGTGATTCTTAACAACAAGAACTCGCACGGAATGCCTACATAAAATACCAGAATGTTCAAATTCTTTACACGAGCATTGAACTTGTTCACTTTCAGGAATCCAGTAAACAAGACATTCTCTTTCCATTCTTTTGTAGTGCCTCACAAGGTATGAGCCATTAGCCATTTCGGTTGACACATACTGCATAGATAGCATAAATTCGTTCTGTGCCACAGTAAAGGTATAAGGTGTTAGAATGGTCCTTGCGTGTTCTTCAAGGGGCAGGCAAGTTTTAATGGGAACATGCAGCAACTCTTCCCTGTTCTTGTATCCGTTGTTGGCAACAGTACCAACCTGCAAGTATGTACAGATAAAATAGATTAGCCTTTTTGTCAAAGTTATGCTAAGTGGCTAAATTTAGGTTGCCAGGGAAACAACCTGTTCAAAGAAGGATTGCAGACATGATTGCCTACCCAAGATGCTTTTCATAAATGTTTCAACTGATTTCAAGTACTCAGAACTCAAGCTGCGAGCCAAAAAGAAATTGCGGATGTAGCAGAATGACCAGGAAAGTCGATAAGAAAAGAGCAAAGCAATATGCTTGTCTGAACCAAGTCCAAAGCTTGCAATGAGATGATTCAACCGATGCTCAAATTCTTCCACATCTTCCAGATAACACAACACATCGAACTGATTTTTAAATTCTGGAAACTGTGAACCCAAGTGCAACGAGAACCAACTCGACAATTTTGATTGGACCTGCCATATGGATACGATATGTTTAGTATTTGGCATCTCCATGGAAATAGCATCTCTAAGCCCTGAATCTATATCAGTTACAACTGTTTGTGGATGTCCTCCTCGCATAAACTGTATAAAAACCTGTAGAAGGACATAAGTAATACAGTTAAATCGAGCAAATAGCCAAAAGAAACAGAAACGCATTACACCTACAAACCTGCAATGCCCAAGAGAATGACTGTAATGTCTCTTCTCGTAAAAGAACACACCCAAGGAAAAATGCTCTTCCATGGTTGCTGATGCCAAACCAAACCCCAAGTAGCACATTGTAGGTAATAGAGCGGTATGTGGTATCAAATGTAACAGCATCACCAAAAATTGAAAATGCACGGACTGAGTCTCCATAAGCCCAAGCAATGTTTTCTACTCTTCCATGTTCAGTAGTAGTATAACTATAGACAAACCCATCATTCTTCTGTGCCATAGCTTTACACGCATCAAGAAGCTCTAATAAGTCATTCTCCCTCTTCTCAGTTAGAATAGCATTATTTTCTTGAACAGTTTTCTTACACGTCCTGACAAAATTCCGCACATCCTTTTCAATAAATGGTAATTGGCCAGGTTTCACTCCCTTCTCTAACTCCAACACCTTTAATATTCGATTGACAGAAAACCCTGCTCTGGAAAGTAGAAGGATTCGCTCTTGATCAGCTTCTTCAATTTTTCTGTAGGCAGGAAGCAGGCGCACTTGATCATCTTCCAGCAACTCATGATTATGAACATTACTAAATTGAGAAACGTACCACTGAGTTCGCCCATTTACAAATTCCTTCGTTAGATACAACTTAGCATCACAGCCACACCTTACTGACTTTCTATCCCTGGGGTGCTCAACATTGGCTTTCTTCCTAGTCTGGTTAAATCCAGAACGGTAACAAACAAAGTCCCTTCTATAAATCCCTAAATTCTGGCTTTCAGTTGAACGGGCTTTCCTAATCGAGAACCCATTCTTCCGAGCAAAGTTGCAGTAGAATTCTAATGCTTCATCGTCACTCTTGAATATCTGGCCAACATATGGAGTAAAAACAACTTCATCTACCGGCGACAATGTTGTTTCCTTCCTCACGGAAGATGACCCAACTGTTACCTGGCCATCTCCACCATACTTGATGTAGCACTTCCAATCTCCACAAGGGCATTGCTGTCGTCGAATCCAAATATTATTCAATGGCTTCACAGCCATTGCTTGACATCAAAGAAATCTGAACTAGTGAGGCAGAATCCTCCAGATCTTGGCAAATAAAAATTCCATTCCTAGGAATTAGTTGCAATACTAGAATTAGTGCAGAGTTCAAATTCAATATAGGTTACTCCCGCAACTAGATATCAACATCAGAAAAGAACTTTTAGAAAAAAAATTAATCCAGTATAGCCAGAGGATAAACACTAAACCAACATCCAAAACATTCGATCAGAAAGCCATGAAGGAAGATATACAATTCTACAAAAACACCCCAGGGAAATAATGAAGAACAGTTTCTTTTTTGGCAGAATGCGACATGAAGGAAGCCATATAAGTCTACAAAATCACCCCAGGGAAATAATGAAGAACAGTTTCTTTTTCAGCAGAGTGTAACAACTAACAACTGAGGCAGGTTAATAAAGAAAGGAAAAGCAGAACTACCAGAAGAAATAGAATTTAAATAGACGAAGCTAAATCGAATCATCAGGACGAAATATTTTTGTTGGTTAATTAACTGGTCACATTTTATTGGTTGAGGAAGAGACAGATAAACACAACTGAAAATCACATTTTTAAAAGCCCCAAATGCATAAATTTTTGTTGGTTAATTAACTGGTCACATTTTATTCCTGAAATGGCTTGGATTGGTATTTTTTCAGTGTTTCAGAATACATTAAACCAATATGTTAACTAATCAATTACGATAAATTGGACAAATCCCAAACATTGATCCAAGTGAATTACTAAGAAGATCATACATATAAGATACAAGAAGCACTGAATATTAAGCTTATAAGTACATATAGGAAAAAATCATCAATGAAAAGAAGAAAAAAAAAACGTAAGACATTCAACTGCTGCCAAGATCACAGTATTATAATCAGCAGGCATCTAAATTTCTTACTTTCCCTCATAGACATTTGATCGAACAGTTGGACGGTAATTTAAACGACAGCAAAACAATTTTGCAAGACTCGGTAGAAATGATGGGTAATCCAAAACTCATCGAGATCATAGCAGATAATGCGTACTAACCTTGAGATACTACGGAAAATCGCAGAGCACTGACGACTAAAATTTGAATGTTACGAGATTAACAATTATCCATCATCCTTCTACCCCTTTTAAGCTGGAAGTAGTTTTCTTCTTCACTGTGAAAGAAAAACGCAAAAAGATGAGAGAACGAGAAGATTAGTTGTGTTTTCTTCTGTTTTATTTTTTTTTTCATGGATGTGGGCTTTGGATACGGATTGGGCTACGGTTTGGCATATTGTGATACATTTTGTCAACAAGATACGGTGACGGATACATTAGCAAAATTTGATTTCTCTTAGCCCTTACCGAAACTCATTTCATCAATGCTTCCTTGGAAGATTAGCAATAATCTAAAAGCAGATACATCATCATCTCATAACTAAAGGAATATTTTGTTAACTAACCCAGTGACTTCCTCTTTATAAATATATATGTAAAAAAAAACGGATTACTGTTTCACCCAAGAGAAATACTCCCTCCGTCCCATATTTATTGTCCAGTTTGGGTTTTCATTTCTAGTTCAAATTGTACTAAAAATGAAATCTTAAACTGGACAATAATTACGGGACAGAAGGAGTAACTCTCTTTACAAAATAATAAAATAAATTATTTTTCTAAGACATGAGAGTATTAGAGGTGAAAGGGTACTTATGCTTTTGAAGTGGGGCCCAACATTAGTCCCAGCATTTACTTAAGTTAAAGTCCATCAGTCAAGCTCTCTTTATAGAATTAAAACGTATAATAATTGGAGACATCCCTACTGGCTTATAATGGATTGATTTGAAGTGATTGAGGCTACTGATTGTAATAGCGATTAGAAGCGATTGAATTTGAGGTTACTGTTTTGGGATTGTTTTAAAGTATTTGAAATGCTCCAAATAGTTAATCATATGTCTAGTACTCAATAGAAAGGTTATCATGGATTCATAGGTTTAGGCCCAAGTAGGGTATTTGGATCAATCTACTAGAAGTAGATAATGTTGTAATAGTGTTTTGGGAAGATACAATAGGAAAAGGAAAAATTGGCCGATCTATTCAAAGATTGACATACGTTGTTAATTCTACTCTATTCTTTTTCGATTAGCTAATATTATCCTAAGCTATCCAATCGTTAGCCGATTTTGTCCAATTGGCCAATTTCCATTTAAATTAACGGAATTCTGTTAGTTTTAATTACAAAAAATATCCTAATAATTTTGAAAATTATAAAAACGACCCTAAAAATTTGTAAAAATAACCAAATAGTCTTTTTATAATTTTTATTTAATTTTTTCTGTTTTCTATTTATTTTTATTATTTCTCATAACTATAAAAATATATTATATGATCTTTTAAAAAAATTATTTATTTTTAAACACTACTGTGCAAATTTATAGATATGTATATTTGTAAGTCATGGTTGATTTACATAAATATATTAATTTTTTAACAATATAACTTGACAATAATGATGTTAGTTTTTTTAATCCTTTTTTCAATTTAAACAATAATATTTTTTGACTAATAATTAATTTTTTACAAAAAAGTAAAACATTTAGCATAGATTAAAAATTAATATATTAGTACATTTTAATTTATTACAAATTGAATAAACAAACTATAGATTGTATTATCCAATTCCAAAAATTACTAAAATAAAATATAGTGTACAATCTAGTGTTTAGGGTATTGAGTTTCATGATAATAGATATAACATTAATTCTCACCAAGGATTTTTAACCGGGAGAATGATTTTATCCACATTTATGCATGGTTTACTAAAGGTGAGAGGGTTGAGTTAGATGGTCAGGTGATTTAATATGGGAAATGATTTACTGTGTTCGAGGCCTCAATTCTCACTGGGGCGATCTTTTTTTTTTTAAAGGTGGAGTCCAGTACTGGAGCAGATTTTTGTTATTATTATTAAAAAAAATATTCCTGCTAAAGTTAGATGTTAATATCTCAAAAAAATTATCACGAAATATTAAACTCTCGCAATGATAAATATACATATTTTTTATAAAATATTTTGTACTATTTTTTTTTACTTTCTATTTGTACTTGGCCTTTTAAAGAAAATATATATTTTAGTTTGATTATTTTTTTTTAATTTTACAACACAATCTAAATTCTGTTGAATTATATTGTAATAATACATTAAAGTATACCAATAAAAAAATTTAATCTATGCTAAATGTTTTATTTTTTGTGCAAAATTAGGTTTAGTTAAATACTCTTATTTTTTAGATTGAAAAAAATAGATTAAAAAAATAATATCATTACTGTTAAACCATATTATTAAAAAATCCATATGTTTATGTAAATCAACCATGAGTTACGAATATGCATATCTATAAATTTGCACAATAGTGTTTTAAAAATAAATAGCTTTTTTTAAAAAGATTATATAATATATTTTTATAGTTATGAGAAATAGTGAAAAGAAATAGAAAACAGAAAAAATTAAATAAAAAGTGAAAAAAGACTGTTTGGGTATTTTTACAAATTTTTGAGGTCATTTTTTTAATTTTCAAAACTATTATGGTATTTTTTGTAATTAAAACTAACGAAATTCCGTTAATTTAAACGGGAATTGGCAAATTGGACAAAATCGGCTAACGGTTGGATAACTTAGGGTAATATTAGCTAACCGAAAAAGAATAGGGTAAAATTGACAACGCATGTCAACGTTTGGGTAGATCGGCCAATTTGTCCAATAGGAAAATATTAGGAGAATATTGTAATTTTAGACTTTTTAGCCTCCTTAGTATGTAAAAACAAAAAAAAAACGTATAATAAAATAGATTATTTTTCTAGGAATGAGAAATATTACAAACAAATGGTCTCCTCACTTTGGTCTTAATCCAGTGGACAAGAGGAGATCAACCTCGCTAAGTAAGACCAACCTCCTCCAACATCTATAAAAGGAAGAAGAGCAACAACAGCAAGGTATATCTTGGAATAGATCAGATTAGGGAGAAGACCAGATTGAGAGTGAGAAAAAGACTCATAGATAGGTTCACAGTAGAGAGAAAAGAAGAGAAGCAGTAGGCAGCTGCTACGGGTGGCTACTCGAGGAAGTGACAGTCACTTGCCCAAGTAGCCAGCCTTCAGCAGCATAGCAAATTTGCTTCCTTCCCCTGTTTTTTTTTCTTTTGTGTCTTTTCTTGTTTGTAACCATGTCGTTAGCTATGCTGATCCTTGTTATATCAGTTGTAGTCAAGGATATGAGTAGCTAAACTGTTTATGGGGTCTTAATCCATTGAATCTCTCTAGTTATTATACATGGTTGTGTTTGGATGATATTTGAGTGCCTTGTACTAGAGTTTTAATTATACTTTTGATTAGAATGATCAACTAGTCAATTGTACATGCATGTGGGGAGAATCCCTGACGGGTAAATTTTACTTAGAATGTCTAGCATTAGTAAGTGAAAAGGGAGTAGCAGCCCAAGGTTTCAAACAACAATGGAAGTTAGTTGTTTGGCATGAGGCGATCATAAGGGTTTAAGATCTTAATGACATAGTAGTAATCTGGAATCAACAACGGAAGTTAGTGACTTTGTTACTGCTAGGACTCTGTCTGGAACAATTGGAAGTGACCTTATGGTGTATTTGTTCCTGATTGAACACAGTTTCATACCACGAAAGTAGCAACCAGAATAAGAAACTAGAGAGAGGATAGTGGAGTAGGAACCCCACGACACTTAGTTTCTCACTTTCGAAAGCCGTCTGTCTTTTCTATTTATTTGTGACTTGAGTCGAATCTTTTGGAGTTTATTAGAGTTTCACATGTCCCTGTGGGATCGACCGACTTACTACTATCTACAGTTTTAAGTTGATTTTGTTTTAGTGGATTCGACACTCATCCATATGTCCTCCTAATTGAATACAAAACCTTAAAAAAATTATTTTAATATTTATTTATTCTCCCAATTATTATAAAATATTTTTAAAGTTTTATTTCAATTGGAACATTCATGCTAAATGAAACTTATGACAAGTCAAAATGTCTTATAATAACGACTGGAGGGAGCAATACGATATCTTAACATTTAAATGGTCATCAAAAGTTGGTTTTGAAACTTGGAAGAAATTATAATTCAAGAAAGATTTGAAGGACGTGGGTTTCCCCTTGATTGTTAGAGGTTATTAGGAAACTGATTATAGAATTTATTTTTTTCAATATGAGAATTGGGTAGAGAAAATTTTAAAGAGTCAGAATTTTAGGATAATGTTGATTTTTGGTAAAATGGGATATATAGATTTCATGTACGAAATTAGGGGAGTAGGGGGGTCGATCAATCCTTGTCTGCCTGATTTTTCCTTAGTATGAGTATTTGGCAGTTGAAATTTTTGCAGTTTGACCCTTTGGTAACGATTGAATAACCTTATTTTCGACTCCATGATTTGAAAGTTCCCAAACCTAATTATAAGGGACATATTTAAATTAAAGATAATGTTATACCTTATAATTGGGACAAGAGGGACTAAGAAGTTTTTTTTTGGAAAGGTACCTGTAGATTAATTGATAACTAAGAACGTATATTATAGTCCAGAATAAGTCAGATTATGTAATTCAGAACACTTCTCCTTGGAACTTTAATCATTTCAAAGGATTAAAAAGATGCTACGGTTAAGTTTATCAAAGAGATAATCTCCTAAGCTTTCGTTGGGAGTGACTCCGGTCGAAGGGTGCATGTTAAAGTTTCACAGTCCGTGTGAACCTTTAGACATTTGATACCTAAATTTGCAGTCTCTCGTAAGGCTAGTAAGCATTTCAGGGCTTCAACCTGGAAGGGAAAAAGGGCATTGATCGCCATTGACTTTATTTGTATTATCATCCTGTGAGGTGAGATAATTTTCCAAGCCTCTGCCATTTCCTTGTGCTAGGGTAGAAAGATCCATAATAAATAACCAAGGCCGTTGTTGGGGCCACATGGGTGGACACTGGCAATGTACTCAGTCCTTGTGGCAACCGATAATGACTCTGTTTGTGGTGCTGCAACTATCCCTGTATGAGATGCCATGAGACTGACAGATCATTAAATTGACTCGTCCAGATTTTGTCATTACGCTCTATCTAAATCTGCCATATAATGATTAGAAAGAGATCAACCTCCTCTTTTGATGGGTGAATTTAGCATCATTAGACAAACCATGGAAGAAGTGAGTTATAAGGGGAGCTGAAGATAAAGCCAAATAATGGATACGCCATGGCCCAAATGGCCTGGGATGCATCACATCTGAAGAAAAGATGTAAATTGTCCTCCACTTGCTGGCCACATCTCAGACAGATTATTGGTACTGGCACTCCACGTTTGTGTAACTCCGAGCGTGTGGAAAGGGCATTGAGAATCGCTCTCCAGAAGATGAATTTTTGCTTTGGCTGAACTAACGAGTTCCAGAGTCTTTTCCAAGCTAGTTTCTCTGTATTCAGAGTTGCTGGATTTTGGACAGGTTGTGGGATGAGTGCATTAATCGCCAGTTGATATCCTGATTTCACTGTATAGTTGCCATGATCCATTAACCTCCACTAGAGTTTGTCCTTTTGCTCTCTTTGAGACGGATCAACAAAGATTCCAGTTATATGAGATACAATATGATCCGGGAAAAATTGATCTCAGGGCATTTGAGTCTCTACTATTTCTGTTGGTTTGATGAAATTCTGTACTTTGAGAGAGGAATTTGTAGCCAAAATAAAATCAAGCTTGATTGGATTTGAGATATTTGGGATCCAATCCCCTGAGATGTGAATGTCTTTCTCAAAAATAACCTTCCATTTGACCTGGTGCTTTAGTAGTTCAGCTCCCCACATTATGCTTTTAAAACCCCAAGAAGGGTTTGAAAGGGGTCTCACTGGGGGGAAAATGCAACCCGAACAAATACTCGGCTCGCATAAGTCTTGATAAAAGGGAGCCTGGAGATGTCAAAATTTTCCATGCATGTTTCGCAAGTAGAGCTTGGTTGAACTCCTTTGTAGCTTTAGACCAAGGCCAGTAGGCCATCATGAAACAATGATTTTGTGATCTTTTTCCAAACTCGCCAATGGATCTTCGTTTCCTGGAAGCATCTTTTCAGATTATTTGATACACCGGCTGTAGTGTATGAGCAGGGAGGTTGAATACTCCCATACAGTACACCAGCATTGATGATAAAAATCATGTAGCCTTCCATGGTGATTCTTCTAGTGAGGGGAATGAGCTAGTCCTTCATTCTAGTTTTGGAATGCCAAGTTTACTTTGCAGGCCAATCAAGGAGGAAAGGATGGATCTTGACTACCTATGTGATAGGGAGTTGGTTCAAGAGAGCTATGATCAAGATGATGAGAATGCCATTCACTTTGGGGTTCAAACCAGAGGAGATGATGACCTCATGGAAATAAGTGCTCAAGAGTATCAAGGGAGTTTGACTCTTGGTGCTCCATGAAGATCATTGATCAAGCTAGTGAGAAGAGTCATTTAGGTTCTTGAATGGACGGCCTATTTGATCAAAGTGTTCAAGATTGAGTCCATTGCTACACAATTGGATAGGTTGCAAACTATCTTAATTGTTTCAAGTGTTTTTCCAATCTTTTGGAGTCAATAAAGAGAATTCTACAAGTTTTGGAGTAAATTGGAGTTTTCTACAATTTGAGGGACGCAAGACCAATATTCCACTTTTGGAAGGGCGTTCAAGACATTTTACTTGAATAATTTGGAGCTGATTTTCAAGATTTAGAGGTTGTCTAAGTCTAGGAGTTATTTTCAAAATTTTATCTAGTTAGATAAGCCATGTGGACTGAATAAAGCTAGAGTGTTTTGATTAGGAGTCTTAGATTCCTTCTAGATATTATCATATTTGAGGATAAGTCATTTAGATAAGGTTTCCTAGATTTTAGATAGAGTCAAAGAGATCAAATACTCTTCTACTTCTACTCCTTGTGAGATAAGATTAGAGAGTCCTAATTGTCTTCTTTTCTTGGTGCTGGCCGAATTTCTTAGCCTATAAATAGGTAGGATGGCCGAAATTTCAAAGCACCCTTGAGTGGTCATTTTTGTTGTCTCTTTTGAGAGTTTTTCCTGTGAGGAATTTTTGTTAAAATAGAGTGTCCATTTCTCGTGTCCAGTATGATTTAACCAAGAGAGTTTTCATCTTGTCTTGGATCTTTTGATCTTGCAGAAACCGTTTTTTTTCAAGTATGCTTCTTGATAGAATTGTTTTAAAACAAAACTTCTTATTTTCATACTACTTCTAGTAGTTCGATTGATGAGCCTTTCTTTTAGCTTGGTGTTCAAATTCATGATGTGTGTGTTCATGAGTTCCATTGTGGGGTTTGTCCTACTTTTGTTGGATGAGTTGTGCTTTGGCATAAGCATTTTGAGATAGTGTATGTGTTGCATATCTTGGTTGGTTATGAAGATTACTAATCAATAGTATTCCTTCATAGTTGAGCATTGTTTGCTCCTACCTTTCTTGAGTCTCTTGAATGATGACTGATCAAGTATATTGAATGGTGTCCTTGCTATTCTTAGTGTGGGTGGTTGTTTAATTCGAATCTTTCATAGATAATGTGTTCTTTGCTTGGTTTGAGTTAAGAGATAGAAATCACTTAGATAAACGATCGCCTTACTGTGAATTTTTCGTACTCTTTTGAGTTTCACGGGATAGACAAATTATCTTCGTACTTTCTTGTTTGATGGTTGCATTAACGAAATTTGCTTCATCTGCGAGATTACTATCAATTTAAGACAATGTGGATTTGGCTAAGGTGATACGACCAGTGAGTGATAGCAATTTTGTTTTCCAGCTTGCAAATTAATTGATGATTCTAGATGTGAAGTATTTGAAAATGACCTTTTTTCTTCTCCTTGAAATCCGGGCTCTTACCCAAATATTTACTACCGAACTAACCCTCCAGGATCTGCAAAGTGGAGTGGATGAACTACTTCAACTCCTGTGTGGTATTAGCACTGAGCAGAATGGAAGGCTTATGCAGATTTATTCACTGACCCAAGAAATTTGTAGAGTTTTAAAGTAGACAAGTCAATGCTAATGTTGCCGACTCTCTACCTTCTATAAAAAAGAGACTATCATCTGCATACATAAGATGACTACACTTGGGAGCATGAGAACTATTATTAATTCCTAGACTTGGAAAGTGGTTGATTTCCAAACGGATTGCGGATGACAACACTTGTTGGCATAATCTGAAGAGCTACGGAGACAAAGGGCAGCCTTACCGGAGACCCTTATTGGGTGTGAAAGGTGACAAGCTCTGCCCATTGAATTGTATCGAGTATGACACATAAGAAACCACAGTGCATGATAAGAGATATCAAACTCTGAGGGATGTTGGCCTTTTGTAGAACCGCTTGTATGAAAGGCCATGAAACTCAATTATAAACATTGCTCATATCAAGTTTAATTGTTGCTCATATCAGGGGGAAACAAACGAGTTGTTGATGGCCTCTCGTAATGTTGATTGGACATCCTGGCCAATGACGTTTTTGTATTTTTTGGGTAAAAACCAGCTGGAATACCATCAGGGCCCGGAAATTTCTAGGGCTACATTTGCTTGATTACCATCCATACCTCCTCAGCTGAGAAGGGAGTGTCTCGAGAAGCAGTTTGATCAAGAGATAAGATTTCATCCACTTTGTCAAGAAGTCCAACTTGGAACGAGGAATTTTGCACATTGTGAGAACTTGTTTCCACCGACCTGTAAATGTGTGAGAAGTATGATTGAAGCAATTCCCCCATCTGCCTCTGGTCCTGGATCTAGTTTCCAGCTTCATCCTGCAATTCATTGATCCACTTGTTTCCTTTCTTTTCGACTGCCCACTGATGAAAAAATTTTGTGTTTCTATCCCCCTGAATGATCCAGTTTATTTTAGCCCTTTGGCTCCAGTAGTCATGTTGATGCTGTAAGGCATCTTCTAACTCCAACCAGTGAGTTTCCAGTGGAGTAGCTAGGTGTTCATTAGACTTATTCATCTCCCATTGTTGTTGAGTATAAGTTAATTGATTTGCTAGTTTAAGAACCAGACTATCCAAGCTACCAAATTGAGCCTTACTCCATCTAGAAAGGCTTTTCAAAGATTTTTTGCAGTTTGGCAGAGAGAGAGACTTCCCTTCAAATTATCAATGTGGAGAGAGGAATGGTTCCATGATTGCCTGACCAGATCATTTGAAGTATGACAATTAGACCAAAATTCTTCGAAACATGGTCTTCTTCTTTGAGAGTGTTTCTACTTGAGCTCTTCTAGAATTGGACCATGGTCAGAACACATAATAAGAAGATTTCTGATCACTGCCCTATCAAAATGGCTTAACCATTGTTGATTAAAAAAAACTCAATCCAACCTCTCATAATTTTTTCCTGACCTTGACGTTTGTTTGTCTAAGTGTACCAACAGCCTACATGCTTCAACTCCTCTAGATCATTCTGAGTCACTTCCCGACCATCAAATTTGTTTTCTTGGCTTACAACTTGTTTGAAATCACCTAATATAATATACAGGGATACAAAAAGCTTTGGAGAGTAACATTAAGCTGATGCCAGAAGGCCACCCTTCCTTGACTGAAATGAGGACCAAACAAAAAAAAAAAAAAAAACCAGCTACCCAGTGTAATCCAGATGACTACATTAGAGTCCTGGTGAAGCACATCAAGCTTAACCCCATTCACCCAAAAGATGCCAATCTCCCACTTAGACCTACTGAATCTATTACAATAGAGTTTTTAAAAACTGAAGATTGTTGACATACTCCGACGGTATCTATATTACCCTTGGTCTCCATAAGAAACAAAATGCAAGGCTTATAGTTTTTAATTAACCTACCTAGAATGTGCTTAGCCGAGGTATTATTCATATCTATACAATTCTAAGATAAAATATTCATGAAAACAGAGGAGGCTGATCTGGTTCAACCCCCGCAAAACCATTTAGCTGATCAACATTTTCAATGTCCTCCCTGACCTGGAGGTTGTCTTCTAGCTTGGTTGTAAGGCCTTCCAGACAGGAACTAGCGACAGGGATCTTCTGCAAAGCCCTCTTTTTGCCTTGCCTGACCATATCATCTTTAGATTCCTCAGAAACTCTTTTCCTGCTGCTACTCGACTCATCAGAGCTCCAAGATAATTCACTGTCAATCTTCATACACCAGGCTGATGCAGTTGACTGCTGTGGCTTAAGAGTTGACTCCCTTGGTCTCAACTTGGCCCTCTTGTGTGCTTTTCTTCTATAAGCATAGTACAATGGTAGCTCTGTATCAGACATTGCCCTTCTCACCTTTATCATCCACTCATCCTCACTTGACTGAGAGGAGATATCAACATCCACTAGAGCTAAAGAGCTTGCAGTTACTAACTTCTTGCTGTTCCTGCTTTTCTTAAATATCATTTTTCTACCCCTCAATACAGAAGAAAATGTAGGATACTTATCAATAGAATCAGAAGGGGAGGAGTGCCAAGATCCAGGCTTAACTAAATTCCGAGCCCAAGGTATATCACTTCTAACCCTGTTACATTAGAGTAAACCCTATCCAATACAGACTGTGGGGATTGAAAGTGTGATACAGTCGGGGGGAGGGGGAGTGGGGGAGGGAATCAGGAATGTTAGGAATAAAAATACTAGGAACATAAGATTCATCCGATATCCTTGATGCAAAAACCGAGATTTCTGGGATTTTATAAATGGAGAACAACATTGTTTCATGACTAGATTCATCGATAACGGACTATCAGCAAAATCAAGTAGTGCAGAGAGAGAATGAAAGCTACCTTCGATTGAGCTGTCTCTGTCATAATTGCATTCATCCTCTACAACAGGTGCCGCCATTCTGCTGGGATAATAAAAACTATTCTCTTTGATGCCATTCAGGATTAAGGGGGAAGTAGACGGATTGAAACCATCACCTATCTGATCATCATGCTAAAAATTGTCCTCATTCTGTTTAGGATCCCTCACCATCTCCATCATTGCCATCATCATCATTGTTATCATCATCATAGTCGTCATCATCATCTCCCAGCTGTAGGAACCAGGGTACTGGCTCAGGTTCTTCCAATTCAGCTACGGTGAAGCCATCCTGGATGCTCTGTTCTAAAATTGTACAATAATAGCTAACCATCTGTTCTACATTATCAGCAAGGAGTCTAGTATTATGCTTTTTCTTATGAGCATGAGCCCTAATAGAGCTAGTGTACAATGGCTTAAACTCATCTATCAGTAATGGAGAATTAAATTTGATGCTTTTTCATAAAAGAAATTATCTAAGAATTGTTCAAACTCAAAGTTGTTGTGCATGTAACAACGTTGGACTGGATGGCCTTATCTACCACAACGCTTAGAGTACTTATGCATCTGTTCATACTTACAACGGATTTTTGCTTTCTTACCATTTTTTTTGGTAATGTGGAAGCATGGAGTAAGTGAATCCCCGGGTTTAAGCCACACCTTGGCCCTTACAATGCCACACAATCCTCTTTGACCAAAGCCACTTCACCAACCCATCGAGCTAGATCCTCCACTCCTTTATAGTTCATCGTGGTTATTGGGACTCCATGCATGCAGATCCAAATGTTCAGCTTCTCTATTCTGATGCTAACTAGCTACAGATCTTCATGGTCATAATAACTCTGCAAGATCAGTAAACCTCCTTCCACAGCATAGGGGCCATTATCAAGAACAGTAAGCAGATCATATCTAAATTGAAACTACTTGATGAAAATGTTTTTGTCATAGTACATGATCCTGGTGTACATCGGTCACTTGTCATTCAAATACCTTTGCATACGCCTATCATCGAACTGACGACTATCAAACAAGTAGCCAAGCATAAAAATAACAAAGGACAATATTATTAATTGCGATGTTGGAATGGGAGAAGGTCAAACGAAACTGGATCACAAATAAGCAGGATACTAAAGGTCCAAGCATTAAAAAATTCTTATGCAAAGGTTAGTGGAGGGAAATCCAAATTGCATAACTTCCAAATAGCATAGTCATCGACAAGGAGTCAAAAATTGCAAAACATTTTAAAAGAGGGTCCTAGAATATATAGGGTTTAGTAAAACAAGGTGATGGTTTGGATAGTAAAGGAAAAACCAGCTATTAAATCTAAGATGTGAAACTTTCTTTACTAAGGAAAAGTTACCAGATTAATTTAAACTTTTCTCACGTTTGAAGGTAAAGAGAACATTCTCTCAATTTAATTTTTAGAGTGAAGGACAACTTGATTTTTTAGTAGTAACAAATAAAAATATACTACATATTACTCTTTAAAAACCCTTTTTTTATAATAAAAAAATGGATATTACATTTTCCCTTTTTCATTATTACTCAATGAATAATTGTTTAGTTTTTACAACTCCATTAGGGAGGATTTAAAAAATGTAAAGAGAAACAAATGCAATAATCGTTCTTCTTATAGCTGATGTGGTCTAGTCAGTTTACTGTTAACGTTATCATCATCGAAGCCGATTGACTTCGACCATATAAAGAGACTTTCGCGATTTTCTTCTTCCCCTGCGTTGCATCAAAACTTTTCAGTTGATTGATCCATCTTCATAAATCTTCCCAACCAAAGAAAGATTGTGAATAAAGTTGATTCAAATGCATCTTCTTCAATTTCAATTCCCTTCAACAACCCTGTTTTCCAAACCATCACTTTCCCTTGTCAGAAGACCTCCACCCATTCTCTTCACCACTACGCAGTTAAAGCAATTCCCAATTCCCAGATTTTCAATTCAGTCTTTCAAATGTTCAGCTTCTTCTGCTGTTTCGGAAAGAACAACCCAGTTGGAGTTGGCCCAGAATCATGATTGTAATAAGCCATCCCCTGCTGAAGTCTCAAGAACAACAATGGAGTTATCATCTATGGGCACTCTTTCTACTGTCAATCCAGATGGTTGGCCTCTTGGGATTGGCGTTAGATTTGCTGTTGATTCTCAAGGCACTCCAATTATATGCTTGCATCAATCCTCTAATACCGTCTCATTTCTCAATAATGATGTGCCCGCTAGCTTACATGTTCAGGTAATTTAAAGTGCTCTTTTGTTCTTTAAAGTTCCAATCTTTATGTACTGAATAATTTGATCAAGATTTGTGTCTCGTCTTCCCACCAGTTAGAGCAGTGCGGCCTGCGGACTCCACAATGTACAATTCTGGGGAAACTTACAAAGATTGAGGATAAGATGACTTCTAAGGTCAAATTTCTTTCTGTTAAAAACTCCTCGTTTCTATGTCTGCTTTCCTCAACCCAGTTCGATTTGGGTTGCTTGTTAATCATCATTTGACAATTAGTCAGAAAGAGTGCTATCAGTTTTATAAAATTTTAAGTGTGAGCGTTTGGAGGTAGAGAGAACATTCTCTCAATTTAATTTTCAGAAAGAGTTTTATCAGTTTTATAAATGTGGAACAAAGGCTTTTAGGTTGTAAGCGTGATCAGTTTTCAGAAGGATTGGATTAGTTGTATGCAGTTGTAAGCTCATAATTAACTTCTGATTTCTCAATATCAGAAGCATTGTTCTCTGTGGAAAAGGAAATTTGGGGAGGAAGCCAATGAGGATCTCATTTATGCTGTTTCTGTTGAGCGTGTACTACATATGGAGGACTTTGGAGAGGTGTGTTGGACATTCCTTGGCGGTATGCTTTGATATGGTCATTTTCTGCTGATTTTTTTGGGACTTTAAATTGATGTATTCATCCTAATTATCCTGTCATTTTAGCTGTTTTACCTTGCTTAGTAGTTCGGGATTATCTTTTCTATTGCTCAGATATTATGCTTTCTGAATGAATGAGAGATATTCTAATATGTATTTCTTTTAGGATGGTGTGTGGGTTATGTCAATGGATTATGAGATGGCTAGCCCCGATCCGCTGCGCGATTTTGCTGAAAGTTTTGTGGAAGAGATAAATGCAAATAATGGGGAAGACGTCTACCGCTTTTGTAACATTTACGCGGATTTGGATTTCCAGGTTTGCTTGCATTACAATCTTGTAGTTCTTCATCTACTCTATTTTACGTTTCTGCATTTTCCTAGGTTCCTTTGGCATGTTGGACAAGATAGTGTTTATGTTCATTAGACATTATGGAAGTTAATCATCTACAGTAGGAGGTTTCTAGGTGGAACTATTAATTAAGCATGTCATACCTCTTTTTAGGAAGTAGAACATCCGCTTTTGATCTTAGATGATACATCTGCATCTATTTGGTAGAGTTGAAATTTTACTTTCAAAACTATGATTTATGTGCAGACTGCCTTTGTATATTAAACCCTGAAACGTAAGTTATGATTTCATAATTATGATCTAAAATCAGTCCCTCTTGATTGAGCTGAGATCGCATGAAATCAATTGTAAGATTTGCACTTGACTACTTTTAAGAGGATTTAGCTGTAGTACACTTTATGGGTAAAAATGAGAATAATGCTAATGATCAGATAAGACACAGTGTTTTTGGGTTATGCAAGCTCATCTATCTTGAACTATAAAAGCAAATTATGTGAGTGGAAAGGGTAAAATGAGAGACGTGAGTATCAACCTTCTTACAGATATTTCAGTAATTAACCACAAAGCTGCCACTGTACTAGATGCAGTAACTAGATGAATATTTCCCCATTTTGTTCTATCATAATACTTTTTTCTTCAACTATCCAGATTGAGATGCATCATATCGTTTTCCAACTTCTTTCCCAACCCTTTACGTTCTTCCCTGTATGTTCCCCTTCTCACAATTGGTGCAATTGTTGAAATATTCTTATTTTGGATTCTTCTTTACAAGAGGTTATTAACGTTGTGTCATTCTGCACTTGTGTGTAGTTAAAGTTATGCAAACAAGAAAGAAGGTTTTGTTGAACACCTATTATTTAAAAGATTTCCGGAAACTATTGTTACCTGCCTTTTTTTTGGAGACTCGATATTATTTGTTTCTCTTCCTCTGTCTATTATCATTCTAGTCAATTCAATTCCAGTAGATCCATGTCTATAATGATGTCTTTTAGGTTGTTATTCATATGCCCTATATTGCCCATACTCACTGTTTATAGTCTTAAAGCTAGCCTTGTTGTCTATGTCATGAATCATGTAAAGGACAAACAAGTTTCGGTGGGTTTTCCCTTGCTTTGTGGGAACATGCATGCATTCGTGTGTTAAGGACTAGACTCGAAGCCATTCTTGGCATCTCATTCGGCAATATTGTAAGATCAAATGTCAGGCCAACATGGTGTTTATTAAACCTCTGGATAATTGCTTGCTATCAATATTTTCAGTGACATGAGTATCTTCTATTACAGGTATTAGATGCAAAGGTGGTTTGGGTCGATCGCCTAGGCTTTGATATCCGTGTTAGAACCTCCCAGGATGATGCATTTGAGGTTCGAATTCCTTTCCCGGGAGAAGTATCAGATGAGAAAGGAGCAAAATCATCTTTCAACTGTATGTCTCAGCTTGCTTGGGAAGTGGAAAAGAATTTCCATGTCCCCGATTTCGAGAAAGTTAAACAAGTGAAGAAGATTGTCAGTAGGTCAAGATGACAAGCAGAATTGATGTTCGGCTTCTAAACATTCTAAGCATCTTGGTCAACGTTTGGGCCGCAAATTACTAATATATGATGAGAAGAAATAGCTTCGGTTCCTAAACGTTCTCACCTTCTTGATCAATTTATTTTTTGGCGCAGATTAATTTTCTTGCTAACTTTCAGTTAGTCCTTTTTTTGTACCATTACTGCTGCCTCATGTTAAAGGCTCTTTTGTTTTGCAAATTCAGGAAGTCAAAATATTCATCATCTGAAGTTTTTTGTTGAGTGCAAAATCATATTTGTTCAGACAACTCTTATCACCACTTTTACAGGCCCGTGTATAAAAAGCCGTTAACTATTGAGCTGAAGTGGTTTGCGTTTAAAATGTAAAATTGAAATGTAATTTAACAAAATTTGGGGTTGGCTGCAATGATTTCTGAAATTTTATACTGTTTAAAAAGATTCGATTATTCTCCTGGACGAAGCAAGAAACCCTAAGCACATTTAGGCAGCTGATGACCACCATGTCAGTGTGGGTATAAGACACTGCAACTAGCTACAATGGCTTTCTGCCACTTTCTGAGGTTGGAAACTCTAGCCAAAGCACACTACAAATTTCGGACCACCAAAAAATTCCCCTCAAAAGGGAAACACGAAATAAAAATTCCCTCATCTTTCTGCTATTATCTCACCAAAACAAAAAGTAACCATATTTTTATAAAACACACACCCCAGCATCACAAGAAAGGCATGATCGGAAATGACAAGAGATAGACCATTTTATGCCTCCAATCAAAATCAAAACCAGTTCGGTATGTGACTTCAAGTCACGCGAAAAATTATTACAAGTAGAGTTCTGAAAGCCCCATTAAACAAAATATGACGTCCAAGGCCACCAGAGCCATAAGAAGAGAGATGATAAACAGTTAAAACAGCAACTTTCGAGCAAAGTCCTCAAAGACAAGTCTTGGTGCTGCACTGCAAAGCTCATTATTCCGGATCATCCGTGCGGAGGGCTGATACAGAAGCAGAGAAATATTTAAGTTAACCATTGGCATGCTTAAAATTGTAGGATGCAAGAGTCAAATTCACTAATACTTCAACCACCATGTATCACAAAAAATATTCAAAGAGAAAATCAATGCAACAGAGCTGAAGTAAATATTAAAGAAAAATGCACTGGAAGGGAACTAATATTCAATCAGGTACGAGCAATTTATGGACACAACCGACTAGGCCACATGTTTTTTTATTACAAAACTATGATAAATCAGAATATACAGCTCAAGTTTCAAAATAAGGTATCTGGGAATAACTTCTTGTTCAAAATAACAAAAGTTAAGCAGGGTATCCTGACAAAGAAACTTTAACAGTTTAGACAAGCAAGCGTCATTTGCAAGAAACTACTCAGCATTTCAAACTGTGACGGACCAAGGTCTCATTCTATTAAATGCACCTCAATCGGATTTGCGAAGACATCACAAAATATTCGCAGAAATGCCTAACTACAGAGAATATGCCCAAATACAGATATCAGTGGCAATCAACCATCAAAGTGGAGAAAACCATGTAGCATATTTCTACAACCAAATGCAATTGATTCACATTATATTTCTATTCGCTAAGCTAGCCATGATAAAATCATCAAATGATCACAGGAAAAAAAAAAAAAAACAAAAGAAAACATCTTGTAAAACAACATTACTGAGTTTCTTTCCCAAAACAAGTGGAAATCTAAAACTATCACTAACTTTCAAGTCCCAAGCATCTTCAGTGACATAAAAAGTTTTCAGCTTCAGAAGTAATTTCTCTTGAATAATAAAACTTCTACGAATTCTAACAGACTAAACAAGGAAACCTCAATATCAAAAGTAGAAGTAATAAACACCCTAAGATCATCATTTCTCAGATACAGGTTAAAAAAAAAAGGCTTAAACACAGATTTTCAATGGACCGTGTCAATTTCAAGCTTTCAACTATCTCCATCGCTCCACAACTGCTATAATGCAACCTTAAAATTCCATACTTCATATCCTAAATTCATAAATTAACCGCACTATGTTAAGTAACTCAGATTATATACTCATGAATAACACATTTGACAAACCCTTATGCAATGCAATCGTTACAACATCAGAAACCCAAATCTAGTATTAACTAAATCGACGAAAGAAAATAGGTATAAAGATTGAAATGAAAGCACCAGCCAGAAATCAACCAAACTCATCCAATAGAAAATACGAATCACAGATACAATAGAACAACAGCGAAAAGAACAAAAAATGAAGGAATTTAAAGAAAGGAATGATGATGATTACTGGGTTTCTGAGGTTTGCCGTCGACCCATTTGGAGGCGGAGAAATGGACCTTCTCCCGGGTCAAAGCCTCGGACCTGTAGGGTTCCTTGAGGCAGTTCCTCACCAGATTAGCGCACAAGTTTGAGTAGGTGATGTATGTCATTCCGGCTGACCTCCAAAACGGCACCGCTGCGTTCGACGCCATCGCTATCTTTTCCCCCGATTTGCTGTCACCGATGGTTGTGCTGTCCCTATTTTTTTTGGGTGTCAAAATGTGCGGCGTACGAGATACATAAAAACCTGAACAAAGCTATTTTGCAAAACAGCCCCCCCAAGTTTTTAGGAAGTATGGGAAGGTATCTCTAACTTGAAAGGAAGATCCCTAAAAACAATTTAGCGCACGAGTCTAACACGATTTATAAAGTGTTTTAGGATTTGGAACACCATCTGGTTTTTTACTTCCGTTTTGAGTTTTTTAGAAATTTAAAGGAGTCGTGTGATTTTCATATTTTGATGGAAACATTTTTGAGCAATTTAGATGTTGGTGGCCATACACAGATCTCAAGCTAGAAACATTACAGTTTCAGCAAAGTGCAGCAGATGTCACAAGGAAGAAGAGAATTTGCGCCATTTCTTCATGGATTTCTGCACATTCAAACATCGATGGGAGCAATTCCAGAACAAAAAGAACCTTTACATATAAAAGGATGTGGATCAAAGTGTAGTAATGTCACGGAAAACAGATATTTTTTTTACAATTTAAGAGCTCGCCATCATCTGCTAGCGTTCCCATTGGCTTGTTTTCCATGGGGGTGTAGAGATTAGATAGACGTAAGCCCTCTTCGCATCAAACTGACTGACCTCACTACGCAGCAGTTAGTTTTACAGGGTGCTAAAGTCTTACAAAATGTCAGGATAGATTATCTCCCAAGAATGTGAAAATCCTTCTGTTAAACAACCTCGCTAATTCAGCAATTTCAGACTCTCTTATCTGCTTGGTTATGCTGTCGTCCAGCCATGAGAACTTGCGTTTCTGGCACAATCTTTTTGCAATATCCACGGTCAAGCTGGTTATATCTCTACTATTTGTTAATGCTTGCAACACATTACTGGAAAATTGAGGATGAGATACGAGTCTATTCAGAAGAATAAGAGCCTCCCGTATTAGCAAGGTTCTGTAACATAAAAGAAAAAAAAAAAACAATGCAAACCTTCGTCAGAGTGTATTTTCTGCAAAATCCAGGGAGTATTTGACAAAACTTAGACATTCCATTTTCTAAATCTTCCAATAGTGAATCAGAATAGATAGACATAAAGATCTACATGAAGAGTATAACTTTACAAGGGAGGAAAAGAAATCAGACTCATCAAACTAATACAACATAGAGCCATCCCACGGAGGAGAGTATGAATTATCATCAGAAAGATCTAAGCACCGAAAAAATAGGAATGGATGGTTGTTCCCATTTCAGTATATTTCCATTGTTTCCTTCACTGGTTCTGTCAATATCTCAATATCTTCACGCGAAAAGGCTACTGTTAGAAAGTACTACATAGATTTACAAATTTTCTCAAATTCATATAAATTTATAAACACAGTTGTCAACTTAACAAACAAAAGAGCATTGTCTATAGCACAAGAGTCAAGACAAACAAGGATTACCTTTCTCTGAAGACTTCAAAAGGCTGAACAGCCTCCAAAGTTTCAAGGTCCAAATCTGAGATCAAACTCTCCACAATGCTAACAAGCATGTTATATCGTTGTGGCGGCCTATGATTCAATAAAATCCCAATACCAGGTTTTCCAAGAGATGCAATGTATGCAATAACTGTCACAGTAGATCTTCGAAGCTTCAACTTCTGAAGAATATCAATCAAATGAGCAATCTCAGAGTACGGACGGAAAAAAAGAAAAGAAAAAAAAAAAGGAGGAAGCAAAACCCCCAGTGATGAGAGGTCTCACAGAAGAATGTTAAACTTTATTTAAGATATAATTACCTTGGGGCAACTTCCGGTGCATGAAAGACAATCTACCAAACCATTAAAAACCCCTCTGAATTCTTGAGCCGATAATAAGATTTTTGCATCAACCTCTGCCTTAACAACACCATCATCATCCTCCATGCAACCGCAACAAAATGCAGTTGTCACTTTTGGACCTTGTTTTGGACAAGTAGAGAGATCATTAGCTTACAAAGAGCATGGGATCTACTCTGCGAAACCAGTTCCATCCTGGTCCATTAAAAAAATAAAATAAAAAATTCTCAACAAGCTATGCACCTCCAGTTAGCAACTTTTGGGGGAAAAACAAAATTCATGTAGCGTTCTTAATCAAATGGAAAATCTGTAAACTATCAACACATCGTACTGTGCCAATCCAATTAGGGACATCATCTGCATTATTATATTATTAGAGACAGATTCAGTTGACTTCATATGTGTTGCTTAGTAACTACTTCAACATTAGAAAACTACTTTAACATGAGAAAAAACGCCAAGTGATACTTTTTATATGGAATTCCACAGATAGAGGTTAAAAACTACTCTCAAGATTTCTCAACAGAAATTTGTACCTAAGGGAATAGCAAGAATATCATTAATTTTCTTTTTCCCCCTTTTAATGTTGAGATGGCACATTTTACAATTTTTTGCAACTCTCCTCCCATGTCTGAGGTGAATTATTTTATTGAAACAGCTTGAGCTTAGAAAGAAAATGCTTCCCCCAAGACAATTTGTGACGGGTGTGAGCAAACCATCTGTAAGACCCATATTGCCACAGATTAAATTATTAGAATAGAAAAAAGATAGATTCTTACAGTTTAGTAGCTGGTTAAAAAGATTCACTGCTTGCTTTCGCAGACAAACACCAGCTTCCTTCCTGAGCAACAAAGATACAGTTTGAAAAACCAATTTTGATGCAAACCTGCAGCAAGGATGATCCATATGAAAACTTGAACAACTAATACTATTTGCCAAGCATTAGGTATTTTACCATTTTAAACTTACTTGTCCCTTTCTGAGTATGCATTACAGCTAACGAGAATCGTATTCATAATTAAAATTGCTTCCAGTCGAACACGTTCATCAAAATCTGACATCACAATCTGGTTCATCGACTCAAACAATGAAAACCAGTCAACTTTCGTAGGGTTGAAAATGGTTGAACTCTTTGGCTTACGCCAACTAGCTCCTTGAGAATCCAATTTATCTGTTACTGATTTTGCAGAGGGATAAATCACGTTTCTTCTCTCAAATAACTCCTGATTATGTATATCTTCCAGAATGTGATCAGAGGAAGGACCTGTGAAGACAAAATTGTCCCTGGTACCGTAAACTAAAAAAATCAAATGAGAGAGCAGGAGAGATACATCACACAATTGAAGAACCTTGTGCATCTTAAATTTGAATTTAGTTCAATTTAAATAACAAGAGGAGCAAAAGGTAGAACTGACTGGTGCCAACGAGCAAAGGGAATTCAGATTTAAGAAATTTAACGAAAAGAGAAAGTCAAGTGCAACATCAGAGACCAACTTGATATTAATGAATACGAAAATACATAAAACAGATATTTCAGCTTAACAGAACAATCTCAAGAGAAGAGCCTATCTATAAGGCGTCTACTCTTCCTCATGCCTTAATGTTTGTGGTCTGCCAAAGTTAGCTTTGAATCAATTCATAAAGATGTAAGTGAAGGTTACATTTCAACTAACCCAGAAGTTAATCTACAAACTTAATGTCCTTACAGTGGTTTAGAAAGAGCAGCTCACTTTATACAGTAAATCAATCTCCACAAAAGAAAATTTTATGCAAGGCTTTGCTAAACAATCAGGCGCTAAATGAAAATTCCTCTTTCTTTTTCTTTTCTTTTCATTTTTTTCATTTTTCACCTTTCACTTCTCCTGAAAACTGTTTCTAAGTTCTTAATTGAGATAACTGTCTCATTGTGGTATAGACATTAGTGTACAACAAACTTCCACAATTTTATATCAGAGGAAGTTTCACAACAATTAGCTTTGGGAAGACAAATTATTGGCCATCTATCATCACAGTTAGATAAATGGCCAAGCTAAAGAAATGTTTTTTGCTAATTCGAAGATATTATCCTTCACTTAATTGCAAACCTCTTTTTTTGGGCGGGGGTGTGTGCGTGTTGGGGAAAGGGGAGGGGGGGGGGGACGGCGGCGGGTGGGCGGTGTGGGGTGTGGAATTTCCCCTACAGTGAGTAGGGAAAATTCAATTAATGTTGAGGACGTCAGCATTGAGCTTCTACGATTGCATTCACGAACACAGGTTCATATTTTCACAAACTTTCCTTGTATACCAAATGGAAAAAATCAGATTAATGGACAACATGAGACAAATCAATGTAAAATTTCACAGAGGCGAGTTAAAATAATAACTAGAGCTACAATGATAGGATGGAACTTATTACCACAATCGCCAGAACCTATGAAATTCATTATCTTCGGATACATTTATCCCCTTTGAAATCAGATAAACAATCACTTAAGCAAGTTTCCAAGCACTTTGATGTTAGGAGAGTCCTTAAAGATGACATTATTAATGATTAGCTCTTACCAAAACTTTTCAAGTAAATTTTACTCGAGCTTGAGCAACCAAAGAGACTCCAACAGTCTCATCGACATAAACAAAAGCAAATCTAGTGACTCAAGTGCAATTTGTCTTTCATTACTAAACCACTGCCACGGACAATAATCAGAAAGAATAAAGGGTAGTGGAAATAAAATAACTATCAGGGGATCTGCAATCATGCATAAATATATATGTGCAGGAAATCACACGACCATGAAGGAAAGACATATATGAAAAGATAGGAAGGACTCAATACCTTCTAGTCAATTCCTTCCGCATCCAGGAAGCATGCTTTAAAACCACATGCAGCATGCGCAGAGAAACATGAACAATAACATCCTGTAACCTCAAGGGGAAAAAACATACATATATTACAAATTAATTCAATGAGAATACTAAGAAAGCCAGAAAGAATACAAGCACATCCTAGACAGGACAAAAAATTGCCACCTCCAAATAAACAATCACCAATCATTATGCTCAGGTAAATGTATGCTACGAGAAACGACTTAAGCAGTATGGTATAATCGCTCGGACAAGCATATTCATCATTAAATATCACTTCATAAATGGACATTTAACTAGGAAAATTCCCAACCTTGAATCAAAGTTACATTTCATGAGATCATTTTTCCTCAAATTGATGCTGTTTAAAATTAAGTGACAGATAATATGAAAAATCATGACATTTTTTACATGAAAATTAAAATTGGCTCAGTAAGTCTAGTGCACAAGAATAAATACTTGGCCTATCCGCAAGTTAGCAGAGTTTCTCAGACTCATGAAATTTCATTGACAAGATAGGCATCAAACCATCTATAGGTCACCCAAACATCATTCAAGATCATCCATACACAAACTGTCCTTCCGTTTCGGGTTTCAACAGAGGATGTCAATTCATTACTGGTCTGCACAAACTTGCACCCAGTAATAGGAGCACAGTCATTACAGGATGCAACAATTCTTAGCAGAAATTTAGTTCTGATATGGACAATGATGGCTTCAAAAGTAGAGAAAAGATTTTATTAAAAATTAATTAAAAAATGAGAGAGAGGGATGAGAAAACAGGAGACTCTAGTGTGAATCACATTTTTCAGGGAGCAACAATCAATTAATGCGTCCAGCAGGTCTTCCAGCCTAACCATTTCATTGCTGATCTGGAAAAGCATAAGCAATATCAGAAGCAAAAAAATATATGAAACATGAATACATATGCATATATTCCATCCAGTATGAGCAGAAGTTTTAGTGCAAGTGTCAATGGGAGTTAAAAAAACGGATGGCAACCAAGAGAATCTACATTCCAAAATAAGTACTATAATATATCTGGCCAGATGTCTTTTACCTTCAAGAAATAGCCCGTCATATGTACTACATGAAAGGAAACATGAACGGATGCAGCCTGAAAACTACGCAATTTTTTTACTTTCCTCATACGTCCAAGTCAACTCATGTTTTTCCAAGAAATAAACATGTTTGTCTTACATTTTTCTGTTGGATGAACATATGAAATCAAACTGGAGAACAAACAACCATCAAGATAAATTGTATCAACGCATTCTTTTTTTTTTCCGAAGATGTAGTGCATCTGATATATTGATGTGAATGCAAGAGATGGACAAATTACTTAGAAGCTAGATAGAACAATCATAGAGCAATTATCATTACAAACTACATCATCCTTTGGACAGACTAACAGTTGGAATCAATAAAATGAGCTGAGTCCCAATTACATGACCCGTTCACGCCTTACTTACAATCTATTGTGAAAATTGAAGTCCGGTAAGATCAGAGAGGGCCATTCAGTTGAAAACATTGGAAAATTACATAAGCACATATCATCCAAAGTAAAGCTGTTTTTGAACAGCAAAATCTCATTTAACAGGAATTTAATTATTCAAGTTATCACACGTATCCTTGAACCAAAACCAAGTTCTTCAAGACGAGCTCAATTCATCAATGACTCACAATAACTTATTTGTGTGTGTGTGTGTGTGTGAGAGAGAGAGAGAGAGAGAAAGAGAGAGAGAGAGAGAGAGAGTTGTGATGAGAATAACATGGAACATCAAGGTATTAATCCTCGTGCAATTGTAACTGAAGTGTCAGACATCAAAGGACAAAATCACAATCTACACTTGTCAAATAAGCCAACAAGATCAAAATCATATACAATAGGCATCATTAGAGTCAACTACAAATTTTCACGATTCTGGAAATCATCACCAAAATGTAATGCTACTCAAATAGACATGGTTCGTGTAAAGAGAGATAAGAACACAGTTTTATCTACCTTGGTCAGCATAACAAAGAGCCGGGAGATTTTCACTTGTTCAGCAGAGTGAGCGGTTAGCGGGGATTCCCAAAAAGGCCCATCTGACTTTGGCAGGGAAGACTGCATAGTGGTGATGGAAGGCAATCCCGGATATATATACCCAGAAAGGACTTGAAAATCAGTACCACAAGCTTCAAACAACTTCAAAGCTAAACTTTTTTCCGATTTCTCCCCATCTAACAAGTCCCATATACCTAATAACTTCTTCTGCTGGTCAGAGGCAAGAAATGAATTATCATTTCTAGATTTTGGATTGTCAAATTCACCAAGATCATCAGTCTGAACTCCAACTGCTCTACTACTGGCTGGTAAACAGAAAACAAATTAACAAAGCAAAAAGGAAATAAACATTTGCTCACTTGTGCTTCAAATGATCACTTACATCTGTTTAAACTGATGCTAGGCATTTCATCTGAAGATCTACTCTTCTGACATTCAGGTATGAATCCAAAATCATCAGCTACAACACCATCATAGCGCCTATCGTACGGAAAAGTCGTTCATAATTACCAAGAAAACCAGGATAAGAACAATGCAAATAAGTTAAACAGTCTTCACTATGTCAATTCAACACCAAGCAAAGGTGTGTTTTTTTTACAACCCAATTTAGAGAAATACATCAGCACAAATAGGTGTAGTAGCAATTCTGTCAGATAAAGAAGTGTATATCTCAATACACTCAAGGTGAACAAATCATACATATAAGACCAGATAGAAGTGGACTCCAACATAAAAGTTGAATTTGAGATGTTAGATATTTCAATGAAAGATAGTAATCTTCACAGCACATTTTGTTTATTTCGTAAAGATAAGAATCTCAAGCATTACAACAGAATATGCCACCAAAATTTCTGCCAGATCATCTTCCCCAAATATTACCAAGTACTGACACGCGTAAAGGAAATTTGAGAAGGAAAGCCCGGGTAAGAGAACAGTTACAAATCAGGATTCATATACTGACCCTTCCGAATTCAATTCGTAGAAACTGCCTCTTCAACAAAATATAAGCTAAGCAGTCTACATTAGAATTTGATGGCTGGAGCCTTCACCGAAACCCACACATGAGATCAGATTCCACGCAACAGGTTGCCTTTTTGTAGAATGGGGCATCTGGAAAAGAAATTTCCAACAATATTCTTGCAGCCTCTTCATTATAGCTTTAGAGTTGTTTCTAAAATCAGTATTTAATATCTTAGCTGATACCATAACCAACTCGTTTCATCCCAAGAGCTAACGTACCTCAGAATTACTATCGTGATGCATAACAATTCTATTAAGACGTGGATTCTAAAGATAAAGAAAGCAGTACACAAATGATAATGAAACAACCGGGCTGTTTCTCCAACCAATCTGAAATGCAAATTACAAAGTAAACTTGAGTCAAGCACTGAGAGAAATCAAAGTACAGAAGTTTACTTACAAGGAATTACTTTTGCTGTTCTCCGTCTCTTTGTCATTGCTTTTTGAAGAAGTGAATTTTAGTTGCTCTTCTTTCTTGTCCTAGTGTTAAATAGCAATCTATCACTGATTAAAGAAGTCAAGAAGTATAAAATGAGAAAAAAAGACACAAACTAAGTAACCATAATTTGCAGTTTACCATGTTCTACATTTCTTACAGAGCAGCCGGCTCTGTTTAATATCATTTTCATTGTCTTATGGGAATTTCAGCTGATTCCTAAATATGTGCACTTTAGTTGCTCCTCTTTCTTGTCCTAGAGTTAAATAATAATTCTTTACTAATTTAAGAACTCAATGTATATAGTACCCAACAACTTCACAAACTGCGGAAACATAATTCACAGTTTACTATGTTCTAGATTTCTTATTGAACAACAGAATCTAGTAAGACTTTTAAACTTTCATGTTTATTGAGCAACAACAGCACACATCTTTCAAGAGGACAACAAAATTGACCAAAGCCAAAAAGGATAGTTCAACCATAAAGCTGAACCTACTATGTCCCAAAAGAAAGATGCTTCCTGAATGAAAATGTTAGCCATAAAAGGGAATTCCATTACCAACTGGCAGACCAAATATTTTCAGGAAAGAAAAAAGAAGAAGAAAAATAACCCTACTCTTTGACTATTGAGCATAGTCGTATTGATTATTTTACTCTTTCTAGAGTAGAAGAAGATAAAGATCATGTTTTGCCATTAGTACAATCTTCAAGAAAGGCTGGTGAATGGTGTTTGTAACTAGCTTATGACAAAATTAATCCTACAAGTTATGTAAAAATTCCTGGTGAACTTATTATAACGAACAGGAGATGGATAAGGAAGGGAATGCACAGCACATGCTGTTTATTGCTAACATAAAACGAAATGAGAACAGATTTTTCAAGGTTCAGATACAGTTCCAAGAATCTACATGCATGGGATGCCATTTTACAAGATATTCTGAAGGAGGCACAACTTGTGATGAAACCTTTACTTTAAATTGTCTTTTTACATGTCATAAGTAGTGTACAGAACTAGTACAGATTGATCAGCAACTTACTGTGTTAAAAACTCTTATATAGCTAATCCACATGAAAAATGGAGCTACTATTCAAAACAAGGAAGATAGTGGACTATGGTTAAAAGGGTCATTAATTCCAATCTTTTCTCTAATTTTCAAACCAACATTTTACTTTGGCACGGAAGCTAAGAAAAGAACTTCTCATTCATAGTTTGATCCTCAAGTCAGTAGGTGCAATGGTTTTGGTTTTCATTCCTTCTCAATAGCTAAATGAATTTAATTTCACTAAACAAAGAAAAAAAAACGGTTCATAATTCAAGCATTTCAGTAACTTGGTTTATCAAAAGTCATGACACATTCATTATGTTCTTCGCACTTGTTCACAATCAGGTGCACAAGGAGGAATATAATGCATTTGTATCAATTTCATCTCAACCTTTAATTAGTTCTCCAGTTTAGTTTAAAGAAAATCCCCTCAACTCTGATTCCATTTCACTAAAAAAAGCAACAAAGAACCCAAATGATCAATAAACTATACTATAATGCAGTAGCCTACACAACCAATCTTCTGAAATGCTAATATGTATCGTGATCCATGAACTTAAAATTGATGTTATACAGTAAAACCCCTAACCTTGAAGCCAACAATCTTTGGTTCTTTGGTAGTTTCGGGGCCTACAGAAGCGGACGCAGAATTTGACGGCAAGCAGGGGAGGACGTAACTATAGCCCTCGCCGTAGCCGGAGCGGAGTACGGCCGGAGTGTCATTGACTCTTTGGGATAATTCACGAGGGGGAGAATAACTAATGTCACTTTGCTGCCGAGGCGGGAGTGGAGGTTGCTGGTGGTGATGATGGTGGCGGTGGTGGTGGTGGTGGTCAGGTGGTTGTGATGGGTTGGTGCGGGACAGGATTGCAACCTCTGAGGCTTGGAGGACTAACTGCACAAAACTCTCGTCCCATTCTTCCATTGTTTTGAGTTCTCTTCCTTCTTTTCCTCCCGGGTCTCTCCACCTTATAGTTCTTGTTTTCCCCCTTTGTTTTTTTCTTTTTAAGTCAATTTTAAACTGCTTGTGAAGGTAATTTTTACAGTTAATCCAACCAAAAAGTGGAAAAAAATCTCATTTCCTCGTCTAAAATTATTATTCAATTTGAAATTTCACTTTCAATATATTTTAAAATAGAAATAAAAATTCAATATGTACCATAGTTTCAGGCCATAGGAAATAATACTGGAAAAAGTATTTTGAGACATGTGGTATTATTTCAATTAACTAAGTAAAATTTGGCAAATAAAGATAACTTAAGTATAGTAAATGTTTTATGTAGTTATCAATTTCACTTATGTTTAAAACATATAAAGGTTAATTGAGTAAAGAAACCATAAAAGATCTTAAAAATAGAATTTTATCACGTTGTTAACTATAATCTTATTTGTATATATTTTTTTGATAGATAGAATCCCATTATAATGAACTAACTAGGTTCTGGACCTATGCAGTTACACGGGTTTAACATTGAAATTTAATATGTTATTCTTATTTAATCAATTTCAAAAAGAGGATAATAAATGTTACATGCAATACTAACCTAATCAGTTGATTTTATCGATAAAACAGTTCTATTTTAGAATAAAAGATTATAGATAATTAAAATGTCGTGGCTTTAGGTTGTGTTGAACCCCAAAATGAATTTGGATCTTTTTGACAGGTCGATTTGGCCGTTAACCGAAGAGGTGGAGTTTTCCTAATATTGGTGTTCAAGTCGGAGAAGGGTTGTTAAGCAACGAATAAATCCTAGACTGATTTGGTTTACTTCCTATAATGAAGAGATAATATCATGAGCTAAATTTTATCTATGGCTAGATTGAAGTTATATTTGAGGAACTAATTCTACATGGATTGGTAGTGCATGTAGACCCGGGGATTGGCTTTATTCCCGCACGTTGTGCGGTGATATAATTTATTATATATTAGTTTAATAATTAAAATATATTATCTCAGTTTGGCTAATAATTTAATGTAGTCTCTAATTTATTTCACTTTGTATCCCGATTTGACTATGAAATTTTTTTTTATCATGTATATAAATATAAGTATAAGTTTATGGTTCTTCAAACAGAGATTTGATGGCTAATTTTGATTTAATTATCCTATTTTAGAGTAATATGTCCCCTACTTTTTTGTTTTTATTTTTCAAGAATCAAATGAAAATGGTAACGTACAGTTTAATTGAGTATTAGAAGATGACATGTGTACTACATAAAATTCTCAATGAATGAAAATATGACACGTGTACCTATAAATTATCGATGACGTAATTGACTGACATGTGTCTTTTAAAAAAATTTCTTTAATATATAGTAAGATTCTACAGCCAATGAAAAATAATAAAAATAAAAATAAAAAACCAAAATAGAAGTATTAAACGTCAATGGAAGCGAAAATAGAATCTATATATCCTATTAAAACAATAGTCCAAGAGAAAAAAAGGCTTATGTGTCGCGCTCTCATGCATCCGTTTCCCGCCCAACCAAAACGATGTCGTTTTGTAAAAAAAAAAAAAAAAAAAGATTTTCCTCCCACCTAATTATACTGAAACTTTCCTTCTCTTTATATATAAAAAAAAAAAAAACATGATTGACTTTCCTATTGATTGTCCGGAAATTAATGAAAACTTTGATCAAATCAAAAATATAAAACAATCAGAATCATACCATTAATATGCATTAAGTCTGAATGATCTCCTAATCAACAATGAAGTTGGTTACTGAAAGAAATTAGTTCTCCGTAAAAATTAGCTCATTCTATTTCAGAAAAAAAAAAAAACGACGCCGTATAGGATAAAAAAATTTGTTGAAATTTCACGGGTAAAATTATGGAAAAAAAAACAAATGAAATATATTTTTTACATTCAAAAATCACTCTAATGCCAATCATTTTTTTATGAAAAAAAAATTTCGCAAGTAAAATGACGAGAAAATCCAAGTAAGGCATTCTTCTTTTATTGAAAATCAATCATTGAAATATCCAACTTTGTTAAAAACATGTTAAAATCTAACGGATAAAACTATGAAAAAAAAATCAAGAGAAACATTTTTCTTATATTTAATAGGTTTGCTGTTTAATCGGATGAACTCGAAAACCCGCCCGAACCGAACCCTTTTCGGGGCAAACTGCTCGGGTAATCGGGTTAATTTTGGGGTTTTCGATTCTACCCGATTAACCGAAAGGACAATTCGGTGTGGGTGCGGGCGGGAAAAAACTAGTTCGGCCCCCGCCCGATAACCTGAACTATTAATTAAAAAATATATATATATTTTTTAATATATATATATATTAATATATATATTAATTAAAATATATATATATTAATATATATATTAATTAAAATATATATATATTAATATATATTAATTAATATATATATATATATTAATATATATATTAAAAATATATATATAAAAAATATTAACTATTAATATATATATATATTAATTAAAAAATATATATATATTTTTAAAAAACACTAACCCTACCAATTCCCCTTCCCACCTCATTCATTTGATTCTTTCTTCTTAAAAAACTTACAGCCAACCGCCACCCTCTCCCAACATCATCTTCATCTCAATTCTTCAAATTTCAATCACCATCTCCAAAATCCAAATCTCAACAACATCAATCTCTTCATCTTCAAATCTCCACTGTCTCCCGCCGTCATCACTCGCCCAAAAAGGAGGAAGCAATCTGATTCGCTGCCGTCCGCCAGAAGAAGCAGAAGAGAGAAACAACCGCCACCGTCCACCAGAAGAAGGAGGAGAGAAAAACGACTGTGTTTAATCTTCTAATTCATAGAAAGGTATTTTTTTTAAGAAAATAACTATTTGACTGTGTTTAAAATAACCATATTGCTAGTATAAAATACCCGTAAAAACATCCACAAATTAAAAGATGACATGTGTACTACACAAAATTCTCAACAAATTAAAAGATGACATGTGTACTTAAAAATTATCGATGGTCTAATTAACTGACACGTGTCTTTTGAAAAAAATTCCTTTAATATATAGTAAGATTTTGTTTAAGTACAATTGATTACAACTTCTTGGTGGACTGCACGTGATTATGAGTTTGGCAAATTAGCTGTTAGTTCTCTTAAAAGGTGGCCAAATTTGACTTCATTTTGGTTTCTTCATCGGTGGTGGATTTTAGCAGCTAAGAGCATCTCCAACCATTCCACTATAATTTACACTAAGTTTAGTGTAAAAATAAAATATTCTAAAAATCTTTTTACACCAAAGTCCTTTACTCTCCAACCTTGATGCACCAAATAGTTTAAATATTTAATATTTTAGGTTAAATTTTATTTTGTGATTAATTAAAATCTTGTAATTTGGTGATAATTTTGTGAAATTCATTTCTTATAATCGCTTTTTATTTGATTGTAGTGGTATCATTTTTTTTAAAATTTTGTTTCATAATCAATTTCAATAATAACTAAAAATAATTTTTTTAAAAATAAATTTTATATTTAATATGGTCTTATTTTGAAGATCTCAACAAAATATATAATACAATATAATTTTCATGACATAATTCGTTTAACAAGTTTAATTATATAGCAAACATATATTTAGATCAAAGTAAAAAGATGATGCACTGAAAATAGTGTAATGGATAATTTATACCAAATCTTATGTAACACTATTCATTGCACCAAAATAGTGCAGTGATTTGGTATCTTCATTTACACCAAAACACCAAATTTAGTATTTTTGTGTGTTGGTTGGAGATGCCCTAAGTTCCTTGCTTTAAGGAATTGATTTTCAAAACATCTTTATCATTAAGCAAACCACAATAGACTACTTCTTCTATTTAAGCAGCCGCGGACATCAACGACAATCAGCATCTCAACTCATCATCATCAACACTTATAATTTTTTTTTTCTTTTTAATTTTTTTACTTTCATATATTTTTATCATGGTTTTCTAGTTTAGCATAGATTAAATAGTTTTTGGCCTGTTTTTCTTCATCGAAATAGGTAGTCATTCATCATCTTCTACTTCAACAAATTCGATTCTCCTTGTAATAGCACATTATCGACGTTTGCCATAGTTAGTCGTCGCAATATATCTCTTTCTCTCTCCATTTTAATGAATTGACAGCCATCACCTTGGTTTGTCTCGCTTATTCTCTATATATTTTTTCTTATTAATATTAAACCAAGTTAATCCTAAATACTCGATTCTAGGTCTGAGGCAGGTTTTCGAACACATCCACAGTCGTCTGGTTTGTTTTTCTGTTCGGTTTTTTTTTGTCCCCTTTCCACGACCCGAGCGATAATTTTTGCTCAAACAAAAAAAATGGCACGCCCAGTGGGATAAACTTTAGTTTGATTCTTAGATTGTGATTGTCTTTCTTCTTACAAATATATATATATATATATATCTATTTTTTCTTTCTTATTATGGACTATTCTAATAACCATATTAATGGTCTTAATAGCCTTAGGGATCCAATCTATACTTCTTTTCCACATAATAGGTCACTTGATAATCCCCAATCTTCCTATTCTTATAGTCCATCATCACTTGGTGGGTATATCTCTCAATAACCCGTAGTTTCATAGGTAAGGCATAATTATTTTATGACTGAAAATAAAGTTAGATGGCAGGCTACTTCCAATGACCGTTTTTCTCGACCTTATGATCATCGTCAGTTAAGTAGCATCGATGGGTGGCATAATATGTTTGTGGTGCAAGATCCCTCTAGATTCGGGGGGCTGGCTGCTGTTGGTATTTCAATGGCTACACATGGTTTTTACAGAATGCCAGTTGGTGAAAACAGGTTGCAACAGATACCAATGCAACAACTGCAGGTTCTGTCACCACAACATCAGCAAGTTCAGAAGCCGGCGCAACAAGAGTTGGTTCTATTGCCGCAACATCAGCAAGTTGAGACGCAGGTGCAG